GTTCCGACTCAATGGCACCTGACAACAACAACAAGGAACAGGTCAGGGCTTTCCAGAACAAAGAATTATCCAGCTCCAAAATACAATAGTGTTGAGGCAAAAACTTGCCAGAGTACCTGGATTTGAGGCTCAACTCTGTCATTTGCTGTGTGATCCTGAGCTATAAGCTACCTTTCTGAACTTCAACTCTCTCATCTGTAAAGTTGACGATGACAGCTAATAGTTGTTGAGTATTTGTAAGTAGCAAGCACCACTCTAAGCGCTTTCCCCAACATTCCTGAGGCATTCTCTCAATTTATGTTGCTGTTAAGTACCATCCAGTCAATTCCATTTCATAGTCACGCTGCATAAGGTTTCCAAGGAGCAGCTGGTGGGTTTGATCTGCCATATAGAGAAAAATGAAATAAAACAATGAAGATAAAAATAAAGTTCATCGCACAGACCCTGGCACACAGTGAGCAGGAGCACGCAATTAAAAATAAATTACATAATTTAATAAAGCTCTTAAATTAAAAATAAAAAAAGATGAATTGTGTTTCATATCAAAAGTTTGGGCTATAAGTCCACCTGCCCTCCCTACCTAATGAAAATCTGTTTCCGTGTTTAGAAACAACATAATAAGTTTCAATCATCTTTAGAAGGAAAGTATAGGTTCTCTTAATAAGAAAGAGAAATGCATTCTATGGATTTATTTTGTTATCCGAAACTTCTCATACGAAGGAAGATTAAAAGATAATTTTGGGGGGAGGATTAATTTTAAAGAACGATATAATTACACGGTGTGATAAGCTTTACAAAGACAAAGGAGTTATGAATCACTATAAAACAAAACCCGATCTAGTAGCAAAATATCAATTATTCCTCCCTGCCAAAATGTAGAGCAAGTTTCAGAGGCTTTGCCTTTTCTTTAGACATGACTGCTAAGTAGACAAGCTTCTGTATAAATAATTAACATGGAAATCAGTCAAAATAATACCCCCAATGCATATCATTGTCCATACCCAGTATGAGTTTAATATTTGTTGACCAATTCCTACAAGATTCATCTTTGCTATTCCTCTACTTTTTTTTTCCATCAGCAAATCTTTGACTTGACTTTCGCAGACCACTTCCCTCAACCCCATTACTATGATCCTGCACCAAGTCCATTATGACCTCTTGTCCAGACTATTGCAAGTGTGCTAATCAGCCTGTCTGCTTCTGCCCTAATCCACCCTCAATTGATTCACCATAGTTCAGTCATAGAAACCTTTTTTATTATGTGACTCTAAACCTTCTAGGGACTTTATTTTCCTCAGAGGAAAAGACAAAATTGTTGCCATGCACGACAAGCTCTTGAGGATCCTGTGTGTCTCTCCTTCTCATTCTGTTCCAGTCACACTGGTTTCACCTCAGGGCCTTTGCACTTGCTCTTCCCTCTTACGTTGACAAGGCTAGCTCCTCTATTTCAGGTTTTTGCCCTAATGCCACTTGATCACAACACCCTAGCTAACCATATACTTCTTCCCCAACTCTCCAGTCTCCATACCCTTTCCTTGCTATTATTAAGCAATTGCTTAACAGAAAAAGAGAGAAAGAGAAAGACCCCCAATGTGATGGATCGGCACAACGGCAGCAGCAATGGGTTCAGGCAGAGCAATGATTGTGAGGTTAGTGCAGGACTGGGCAGTGTTTCAGTCTATTGTGTATAGGGTTGCTCTGAGTCCGTATGAACTTGATGGCATCTAACAACGACAAGAAGTAGCATAAAGAAGCCATTGTGGTGCGGCAGTTAAAGCATTTCGTTACTAACAGCAAAGTGCCTATTTGAATTTACTAGCAACTCTGCGGAAGAAATATGGGGCAGTCTTGTGCCATAAGAAGTGATAACCTTAGAAATCCTATGAGGCACGTCTATTCGGACCTATTCTGACTCATAACAACCCTGTAATAGTGTTTCCGAGGCTTTACATCTTTGCAGGAGCAGAAAGTCTCATCTTTCTCCCGCAGAGCAACTGGCAGGATCGAACTGCAAATCTTGTAGTTCACAGTCCAGTGTGTAGCATATGGAGCCACTGTGCTCCCTAATGTGTGATGTTGTGTTGAGTACCACTGAGTCAGTTCCCACTCATAGCAACCCTGTATTGGGTTTCCCAGGAGCAGCTGGTGAGTTTGAACCACCAACTTTGTGGTTTCATACCGACATTGCGTTCCAGTGCTTTAGCCCACAGTGCCACACCAGGACTCCATGTTACAGATGTTATATATTCATTTTCATAACCTCTTTAATGGTTGTTGTTGTTGTAGACTCGCAAACCCTGTGTAGGGTTTCCGAGGAGTGGTTTGAGAGTTAGACCTGCTTCTCTTGTGGTTAGCAGTCCAGGGCTTATCCTACAGCACCATGCCAGGACTCCTCTTTAACCATAACAGGTAAGAAAAACACGTATGGCAGTGCTACCTGGCATATAAAACATGCTCAATAAACAGTTTTGTTTGAGGGTGTTTTTTTTTGGGGGGGGGTAGTTCCACACTGTATGCACTCAATGTGCAAATATTGCCACCTATTCTTTAAAGTAAGGAGCTTTGGTAGCGTAGTGGTTACAAGCTGGGCAGCTAACCTCAGGGTCAGCAGTTTGAAACTACCAGGTGTTCCAAAGGAGAAAGATGAGGCTTTCTGCTCCCATAGAGAGCGCCACTATACCGTTCAGAAAAAGCACTTCCGTGTGAATGAAATAGAGCAATGAGCTCTTGAACCCAGCCTCGGAAACCCTATACAGGGTCACTATGAGTCGGAACCAACTTCATGGCACACTACCATCACCACCACCACATTCTTTAAAGTTAGTGTTGTCTACCTCTTTAAAAGTATTGGAACATTATGGTTAAAAGTAGCCATGCTAAAAGTGTCTACCACTTGGGATTTTTGTTAATTCAATAAAACTTTAATCATATGCTAGGTTTGGGAGTGTTGTTGTGAGGTGTCATTCTGACTCAGGGATCCTATGCAGCACAACAGAATGCAACGCTGCCTTGTCCTACAACGGCCTCCCAACTGTTACGCTTGAGCCCATTGCTGCTGCCACTGTGCCAATCCATCTCATTGAGGGGAGAAGGGGGCGCCTTATTTTTTACTCATCTTCCACTTTACCAAACATGATATCCTTCTCCAGGGACTGCTCCCTCCTGATAATATGTCTGAAGTATGAGAGATAAAGTCTGGCCTTCTTGGCCTCCCAGGAGCACTCTGGCTGTACGTCTTCCAACAGATCTATTGGTTCTTTTGGCAGTCCATGGTACTTTCAATATTCTCTTCCAACACCATAATTCAAATGCATCAATTCTTCTATGGTCTTCCTTATTCACTGTTCAATTTATAAATGCATATGAGGTTATTGAAAATACCATGGCTTGGGTCAGGCTCACCTTAGTCCTTAAACTGACATCCTTGCTCTTCAACACTCGAACAAGAGGTCTTGTGCCCCAGATTTGCCCAATCCAACATGTCCTTTTGGGGCTATCATAGACATTTATTGTGTGGTTCCATACAGGATAAACTCATTAAGTGCGAGAAGAAATTTGTTCACTAGTATCATACCCCCCAGAATAGTGCCTCCCCTACAGTAGGTCCTCAAGACTTGTCACTAAATCCATGATGGAGTATCCCTTTGTATCAATGGCCCAATATTGCCCCTCATGAAGTTCCCAAATCCCCTTTCTGCTATTTTTCCTACAGGGTAGGAGACAACAGTCAGTCCCCACATTGAAGGGATTCATATTTCTCATCTTTATGGGAAAAAAAAAAGGGAAAAAGCTGGTCTTCAAGGGTCTTAGCAGGTTGACAATTTTGTGACATTTGGCTAAGTTTATGAAGTCTTAAAGTGCAGTTTCAGGGGAAAGGGAGGGAGGTAGGAAAGAGAAAAGCCAGTTTAGAAGGAAGAGGGCTTAGAGAGCACGATCTAGCCTGGTTTAAAACCCGAACTTCATGCTTTCATTACTTTAGCGTCTGAAGATCATTTCTTAAACTTTAACGTTCAACGTCCTAGCGCTAAGAAGCCTCCACCAGCCTCCTGGAGCTGCGCCCTTTAATGGCGGCGAGGGGCAGCGGCGTTTACCTCAGAAGGCGCCCCACCTATAATTGCTTGTTAGCACAACGTTAACTGTGCTCAGCTGAGGATGGTGCAAATCTACCGTTCAGAAAAAGCACTTCAGTGTGAATGAAATAGAGCAATAAGCTCTTGAACCCAGCCGGGGTACGTCGCCGCCTGACCCAATCCTAAAAAAACGGAACAAGGCGCAGGTATCATGGCTGCCGGCGACAGCGCAGCGTGAGGTAACCGAAAAGAAATGGGACCGGAGCGCGTGGCCAGTCTGGGCAGGCACAGTGCGACGGGACCAGAGGACCCCAATGGGGTCACCTAGGAGCGCCATTCAGGCACCCCTAAAATCCTCCTAGGCTTTTGGCACTTAGAGATCGTGGCATTTGAGGACTGCAATATGGAGGATAGTTATTGTCTCTGAAAGCAACGCCCGGACTCCGTGCCGCGGTCGGAATCCGGCAAAATCCTCTATTCTCTAAACAGAATTCGTTACGCAGAGTGCGCAGCTTCGCAATAGTGGGCCGGCTAACGCAGCAAAGAATGTTACGTCGCTCCGGAGGCTTTCCCTCATCCCCACCCCCACCCCACGTACTAGTTCAGGTGGCTGGAGAACTCTACGCCTGCTACGTACTTCGTGTTTCTTCTACCAACTGGAAAGTGCTCCCATCTCCGCAACTAACGTAAACCGCTTCCAGGAATAGTCTTAGTGCTCTGCAAAGCCCTCGGACTATTCCGAGACGCTGTTTACGTATCGTCTCGGACGGACGTAGCGTTAAGCTGGAGCAGTCTCAGAGGCGGACGCCATTTTGTGCAGTCGCTGGGAGGGAAGGAGACGCTTAAACCGCGGCACTGCCGGGTTTGGGGGTAGCCAAGCCTACCCACCGTTTTTAAAAACACCGATTCTCTGTGTTTTGCTCCCGTCTCCGACGAGAGAGGCGGCGACGGTGGCGTCTGCGACGGGAGACAGCGCGTCGGAGCGAGAGAGCGTCGCGCCTGCCGCCGCCCCTACAGCGGAGGCGCCGCCGCCATCGGTCGTCACTAGACCGGAGCAGCAGGCCCTCTCGACCCCGGCCATCCGTGTCCCTCTCCCAGATCTCTATCCCTTTGGGACCATGCGTGGAGGCGGCTTTGGGGACCGGGACCGCGATCGTGACCGTGGAGGGTAAGGGAGGAGGAGGAGAAGAAAGGCCTTTCATGGGACTGGGGGAGATTGTGTCCGGAGGAGACTGAGGTCTCCGGCCGAGTGGGAGACGGAGGAAACCAGGCTCGCTAGCTACCTTCCTCCCGAGCCCGGGAGACGGCCGGGCACTCCCCGAGATCGCTCCTGAGTGGCGGGAGGGGAGGTGGCGGTGGCCAGCGTGGCGAGGCCCCGGGGGAGCCTGAGACCGCCATGTCTGTAGCCCGGCGCGGTTTACGAGTCGGGCGGGTCAGCTGGACGAGTCGTTTGATCGGCCGCGACCTGCGTCCGTGCGACACGGCTGTTCCGAGACAAGAGGGGGACATTGTCCGAGTTTCGCCAGCGAAATGGCTTCCCTTAAAACAGCATTTTTGTTTTGTTTCGTTATTCCCACTTTCGAATGTGAAACAACGAACTGGTAAATGATGGGTTTTGGGAAGGGAGTTTTTTTGTAATTTTTTTGGGGTGGGTGGGTGGTGGGTCGTTGACTGTGGTTTTACAGGTTTATCTGCTCAGTCTTTTCCCCACTTTGGTTAAAGTTTGAACATGCCACGGTTATCTGGATGGGACTGAACAGGGCATCTCTGGGATTATCACATCTTAATGGAAAAAGCGGCCCAAGCACGCCATATTGATTTGGACTGTTCCTTTTTTCGATTTTTAAGAGTGGTATCTTTTTAGGATGATAGGACTCCACTTAATGCTCACGTGACCTTGGATACTTTACCTTTAAGCGCTTGTTTTCTCATTTAAAGATGGGGCGAGCTCTTTACTTTGCAGTGCTTGTAAATAAATGTTCATGTCTTTCGTTTTGTCTTTTCGTGTCGCCCATACACGAGTACCGGCCACAAGTATAAATTTCCGTTACATCTTCGTTTACACAATAAAAGTTCAATTTTCATCCTGGTAGGAATGACAAGATTTAATCTTAGTGTTAAATATGGAGGGAGTCCTGGTTTGGCGTTGTGGGTGGGCTAATGTGCTGGACTGCAAAGTTGGCGGTTCAAGCTCACCAGCCACTCTGGAAACGCTGTGGGTCGGAACCTACTGGAAGGCACTTATGAATGTTGGCCTAGAGTTTGACAATATAGCAAACTTTAAATGTGAATTTCAGTTCAGTAACAGAAAAGAATTTAGCATTAATAACATCAAGTAGTGTTGAAAATGACGAAGTAATTTCTCTCCAAGCTTTAAACCTCCCTCCACTCCCAGGCCTGGAGAAACCCATGCACAGCTGCCCAGGATCCCTGCATAACAATGTCTACAACAGCATTGTTCCATGATCGCAAAATACTGAAAACAGCCTAAATGTCTGGTAACGCTGTAGGTGTTTATATAATAGAATGCAATACAGTAGCTTAAATGAATAAAACGTTTCTCAACATAATAATCAGATCAAGAATCAAGTTGTGGTCGATTATAACATGTTTAGGAGACCTACCTTGTCGGTTTCAACCCATAGCGACCCTGTATAGGGTTTCTGAGGAGCAGCTGGCTATAGAGATGGTAAGAAATAAATACAAAGAGCAAGGGAATGGTTTTGAAGAATTTAAGGTAGTTATAGTGGTGTGACATGATGCTGTGGGATCAGCATTGGGCTGAGAGTCTTGAGGTTGGCAGTTCAAACCAGCAGCTCCTCGGAAACCCTATAACAGGATGGCTGAGTCGAATCCGATGCAATGGATTGTAACAACTCAAGTTATAGTGGGGGTGGTAAACTTGAAATAGGCACAGGTCTTCAAGGTACAGGTATTGTTTATATACGTGAGTATTTGGTTTAATATTTTTTTAAGCTTTAAGTGGTTACATTATAAAAGAAGAAAATATTTAAGTATATGGCTCCATATTTTGTTTATCTCATATTGACTTCAGAGTATCAGATTAAATTTTTTTTTTTTTTTTAAAGCTGTAAAATTCATTTCAAATAATGATACTTTTAGAGTAAGGTCTTTGTCCTAAAACTACCTTCCCCATGAGAAGTCCTTAATGATTCAATAAAAGCATTAAATGAGCAGTGTGGTTTACCCAGGATTAAGTTCATATTTAAAGGATGGCGTGAAGATAAAAGATTCTCTTAAATTTTAGATAAATAATGAGGGCAATAGGAAGAAAGGAAAATAATTTTTTTAAAAAGGGGGGGACTGATTAGTATAAACTTGGAGCACCCTGGTGTGGCACTGTAAAATAAGCATTGGACTGCTAACCCCAAGGTCAATTGTTCAAGCCCACCACTTCGGAAACCCTATTAGTCGATGAATCGGAATTGACTGCACTTAATTACAAGGATAAACTTGGAAAGCAAACTTATTTTCAGAAGTTCTGTTTTCTCTTTCTAGATCCTTAATTTGTGGTCTGAGCTGGAAAGGACCATTGAAATGGCACTGTCTAGGAAACAATTATCTCTAATAATTGGTCTTTGATCATTTTTTATTTTCTCTGCCTGGCAGTGACTGGCTTTTGCTTTCTTTTTTATATTGAGCTCCTTGTTATAGTATTGTGCTAGCTGCCAGTGGAGGAGGGGAAGGGGAGGGGATCAGCCTCTGTTGTGAGTGGTCAAGTAGGTGAGCAGGAAGTTTGAGGGCATATTAGAGATGTCCTTGGTTGTTGATTTTTTTTGTTCCTCTAATACTCTGGTAGCTTAGTGGTTACGAATCAGGCTGCGCACCTTAAGGTCAGCGGTTCGAAACTACCAGCTGCTCCGCGGGAGAAAGATGAGACTTTCTACTCCCGTAAAGATTTACACTCTCGGAAACCCTGTACAGGGTCGCTATGGGTCGGAACCGACTCGACGGCACTTAACAACAACAACAATTTGTATAACCATATGTTAATGGCTTTTTAAATATCACTTAAGGTTCTAACAAGATCATGTTATGAGTGGGTTAGAAATGAAAAGAGAAATTGAATTAGGGCTGGTGTAGTATCTTACAAGTAAGGAAATATGAGAAGATTATACTATATCAAGGTCAGTTTGAATCGCAAGGTCCGAGTTTCAAACTCAACCAGCCACTCCTCAGAAATCCTATACAGGGCCACACTTTACATAGATTTGAATATGGAAATGAAAAATCATTTTAATGTTAGGGTTCTAGGAACCAAAGATTTTAATTTCAGGTTTGGCTAGATTTGTTTTCCAGCTAAACAAGTGAAAGGTAGATTTAAAGTGAGAAGTTAGGTTTAAATCTGTGGTACTGTGGGATAATGTACTCGACCACGAGGTCGGAGGTTCACATTTACCAGCTGCTCCTCGTAAACCCTTATCAACACTTAACAGCAAATAATAAACAATATGTAGTAATAGTTTCTTCTGCAGGTTCATAATTAAATTGCAGCACCACATACCTGGGCACCAAGAAAGAGGTACAGGGGGTAAAGGTAGAGGCAAAGGTTATAAACTATAAATCTTTGTTCAGGTTTGAATGATAAAGCAAAAGGTGAAAACCACCTCTCCTGTCTTTTACAGATGCTAGCAATTTTCCTGAGATTAGCTACAGCAGTTGTGCTCATCACAAAAACAAGGGGGGAGTGTCAAGCAGGCATTCCAAATTTGTGCTGGCTTGGAAGTATATTTTTCTCTCTAGCCACAATCTTGACTTTTATTTTAGTGTACTTGTTTAAGTGCCATCAAATTGGATCCCACTCACAGTGACCCTATATAGTGTTTCAGAGAAGCAGGTGGTGAGTTTGATGGCCAACCTTGTAGTTAGTAGTCTAGTGCTTATCTTATAGCACCACACCCAATACCCCTTTAAGAGTGTACCAGGGGACTTCAGCAGGAGTCCTGGTGTGGCACTATGGGTTAATGCACCGGACTGCAAAGTCAATTTGAACCGCAAGGTTGGTGGTTCAAGCTTACCACCCACTCCTCGGAAACCCTATACAGGGTCACTACAATAGTAGGGTTTCAAGAGTCCTGGTGTGGCAGTGTAGGATAAGCACTGGACTGGTAGCCACAAGGTCTGTGGTTCAAATCCATCAGCCACTCTTCAGAAACCCTGTACAGGTAGGTTCATTATGAGACTGACCTAATCGACAGCACTTAACAACAACGGGGCTTCAAAAGAGTTTTGTGGGAGAAAGGAATTTTTCCATGAATTTTTTGAAGCCCTCTGTCATAGGTCCTTTACCCTTTACTTTTAGGTCACTTTAGACGTAAACACCAGGACTCCGGTGTGTTGAGTGAATAAAATACAATGGTACAAACCTGTATTGGGAGTTATGATGTGGCACTGTGGATAAGCACTGGACTGCAAAGTCGGCGGTTCAAACTCAACAGCTGCTCCTCAGAAATCCTATCTATACAAGGTTGCTCTGAGTCTGAATCGACTAGACAGCACATAATAACAACTACCTGTACTGAGTACTTGTTATGCCATGCACTGTGTTAAGCAATAATACGCATTCATTCATTCCATCCTTATAGTAACCTATGAACAGGTTGTAGTATTTCCACTTTACAGAGGCAGTTGAAGCACAGAGAAGTTGAGTAATTTGCATAAAATTTATAGACTCAGTTCCGATTCATAACCTGCATAGTTTCCCAGGAGTGACTGTCAGGTTTCTCTTAAATATAAGAATTTTTAACTTTTAGAAGTGAGGTAAAAGATTCTAAAACTGATGGTTGGCTCTTACAAACCTTCACTTGATTTACAATAAAGTTTGTGTGTGTGTTTTTTTTTAATTTTCAGTTTTTCATCTAGTATGATCTATATTCATAAATATCCATTGAAAAGAAAAAGAAGTTTCAGTTTCTCTCCAGCTTCAAATAAGAGTAATAACACTATTCTATTTTGGTGGGAGACTGGTCACGTCTTAGGAGTCTTGCATGGTTTTAATAGTACCTAGTAGTCCTGGTGTGGCACTGT